AAAAGTTTTGATTTGGAATTTTGCCATAATAATAAGTAAATAAATTACTGTTACTTAGAGGCTTAGACATTTGGGGCTTTGTTTGGGGTACCCTATACGGTAATCATGTACGTGTTGTAAACATTTCTTGGTGTAAACTCTTTTTGTGTGTCTTTTTGAGACAGGGTCTCACTGTAGCCCCAGCTGCCCTGAAACTCGCTATGTAGACTAGGCTGGTCTGGAACTCACAGAGATCTACCTGCTTCTGCCTCTGGAGGTCCGGGATTAGAGGCGTGTGCCACCACGCTCTGCTCATGGTGTAAATTTTTTACCTAGGGCCAGAGGTCTTGTGCTTTTGTATAAAAACATATAAAGGGCCATGCAGTCTTGTTTTGTTTTGTTTCATATTTGATTCTGGACAGGGAGGGTGTATATTGAACTTTTACTGGTTATTCTACTAGATAATAAAACAAAGGATTTCAAGTTGATACAGAAAACAAAATGTTTTTGAGATTAGAGTGCTTGTTTGCTTCAGAAAGGAAAAATACCTTGGGCTTTATCAGAGTGATTATTTTATTATCTGAGGCCTTGTCCCTCTTTCTACTAGTACAGTACAGGAAAAGGAAAAGCCAGATGTGTTCCTGTCATATGACCCCAAACACTCAGCCTCTTTTCCATGTATATATACGTATGGAAGAACACATACCGTAAGACTATGTATATGTATTTATGCAGAGTGTGGGGAAGTTCATCCTCCCACACTGTTACTTGTCTCTCTCAGATGGTCAGATGGAGTTGAGCTTAGGACAGGGATTTAGGCTTGGACCTTGCCTCTCTCTGCTTCTGCTGTTTCTTAGCCATGTGGCTTCAGTCACTGGGCTCCTCCTGTCCACAGTGTCCTCAACAGAGAGGCGATATATATCTTACAGATCACATTTAATTCTGTCTTTGGTGGGAATCTCCACAAGTATGTTTTTTTTCAGACTGTCCCTTTCTGCCTCATCCTCCTGAGCCTGGCTGCCAAAATATTCATGGGATTTTATTTTATTTTATTTTATTTTATTTTTTTATTTTCTTTATTTTATTTTATTTTATTTTTATTTTTGTGGCGGTGCCGGGGATTGAACCAGGGTATTCATGCTGGTCATGTGCTGTATCTCTGAGCTGAGCTGCATCCCCAGCCCTTTTTCAGTCTTTAGGACATGACACCAGCAGGCTTTGAAAACTCCTCACTGTCTGCTATAGACAAGATGTCTCTGGCCCAGCTTATGCATTTCCTGCCTTAGACCAGGCATGTGGCCACTGGGCCTTGGGTCCTGCTTGTGGAAAATGCCAGTTAGAGAAGGTCTGGGTGCTAGAAGCTCTCACTGCTGCTTAGGCAGGCACAGTTCCCGGGCCTTGTCAGAGGAGAGGTGGGGACATTTGTAAAGATAACGCACCACAAATTTTTATTGATACTTTAAAATCCAATTCTGGGTTGGGTGGGTTTGGCTCTCCCTGTAGCTCCAGTTGGCCTGGAACTCACTATGTAGACCAGGCTGGCCTTGAACTCACAGAGATCTACCTGCCTCTGCTTCTGGAGTGCTCTGATTAAAGGCGTGTGCCACCATACCTGGCTTGAAAATCTTTTTGAAAAAAAAAAAAATTGTGTGTGTGTGTGTGTGTGTGTATGAGTGTATTATCTGTATGTATGTAAGTGCACCCATGTTTTGCAATGCCTGCAGAGTTCAGAAGAATCCCTTGGAACTGGAGTTATGGGCAGTTATGGGCGGGTCCCGCTGCTCGGGTCCCTGGCTCTCCGCGGCTACCGGATGCTGGCGACTCAGCGGTCGCTGCGCTTCCAGGCGAGTTCCGTTCCAAGCTACCGGGTACTCCCTCTAGGTACGCGATCCGCCGGATCACGAGGGGAGGTGCAAGGACGGCGAAAGCAGGATCGTCGCGAGTGAATGTTTACGAAGGGACAGAGACTGCTACCTTAGACAGCAGGGGTCCCCAACAGGCAGTTGTTTGTTGCCATGTGGGTGCTGGGAATCGAATTGGGTCCTCTGCAAGAGCACCCAGTGCTCTTAACTGCTGAGCCAGTTCTCCAGTCCCAAAATCTTTTAAAAATCTGTATTAGTTCCAGGCGTGGTGGTGCGTGCCTTTAATCCCAGCACTCAGGAGGCAGAGGCAGGCGGATCTCTGGGAGTTCAAGGCCAGCCTGGTCTACATAGTGAGTTCCAGGATAACTGGGGCTACAAGGAGACCCTGTCTCAAAAACACCAAAAAAAAAAAAAAAAAATCGGTTTTAGTGGGCCAGGCATGGGGGCTCACGCCTTTAATCCCAGCATATGGGAGGCAGAGGCAGGGGGGTCTTTGTGAGTTCGAGGCCAGCCTGGTCTACATAGTGAGTTCCAGGATAACTGGGGCTACAAGGAGACCCTGTCTCAAAAAAAAAAAAATCTGTATTAGTGACCTGGATTTTAGATTTCATATATCAGAACTTGATTTTTTGAGGGGAGCATCGGGAGGCTCTTTTAGTATTTGGCAAAATTGGCCAGGCATGGTGGCACATGCCTGTAATCCATCCCAGCACTTGGGAGGTAGAGGCTGGAGGATCAGTAAGTAGTTCATGTTCAGCTACATAGTGAGTTTGAGGTCAGCCTATACTACATGACAGCCTGTCTCAAAAAGAGAGAAAAAAGACAAAAAGAGGAATTCCAAGAGAACTCTGCCACCTGCTTAACCTTTTATGTCTCAGCTGGTTAGTACTCCTTTCCTTCTAAGTTGGATCACTGTCCTCTGTAAACCAATCCCCTGGGACTTCCTGCCCCATATCCCTACCTGACTGTCTCCAGGTCCCACACTAAACTCAGGCTGGACAGTTCTGGATACCAAGCTGGCTTCTTTCCATTCCCTGTTCCTCTTTGGGCAACCTACCCATCAATGAAATAAAAACAAAAAAACAAAACACTTTTCCCTCCTTTTATAGCTCTGGGTGTAGAACCTAGGGACTTTGAGATGTTAGACAATTCTCTACCACTGAGCTACAACCCAGCCTTTGGTTTTTGAGACAGGGTCTTGATATGTAGCTCAGGCTATATAGATAGCTACAGGCACACACCACCACACCCATCTAAAATTTTTCTTATTTCACCTAATGTATAAAAAACATAAATCCCTGATATATAGAAAAAATATTTTACTGTCAACAGTAATGACTCAGTTTACCTCAGGGGCTGCTTTCTACTGAGGGCAACCAGACACCTTCCCTCTATAAATTATGCACTTGGAAAAATAGAGCCAGCAAGTGTGAGACATAAATAATGGATAATTATGCCGTCTTAGGACCCAGTGCATGCTGTCCATGCAGCCAGCTGCTGTGTTTTTAGGTTTGGGTTGGTAACTTCAAGGGGTTCTTGAGCTTCTGACTTTGATTTGGGCCACTGTTGTTCTCAGATCATGTTTTCCTGGTTGTTAATTTAAGAATTGCATCTCTTGCAGTTTTGATCTTATCCACATTGTTAAATTCAATAGGTATTTCTAGACTAAAGCTTAAAAATTGAGTGGCTGCTTCCGCTTTTTTCTGTTACCGTTGTCTTCTCCCTTTTCGTTGGTGTGGCTTCTCCTTAGCCCAAAGTGCTGAAACTCAGCTTTTCGGCTTGCTGTTAAATCTTAAACAAAAACCACAGCTGACCGAGTTTAGATCTATCTTAGCTATGTTACACATCAACAAGCCTTTTGTGGCTTCCTAAGTTTTTGGTGTTAACTTGAGAGTGGTAAGGGTATGAGAGCACTGATAAAGGGTTACTATGGTATGAATCCTTTTCTTTGACTAGTTTACCTTAAAGTCAGATTACAGAACTTTGAGAGTGCCGGCTGTGGTGTTGCATGCCTACAATCCCAGTACATGGGAAATGGGAGCAAGAGAATCAGGAGTTCAAGGACAGCTTCAGCTACTTAAGCAAGTTTGAGGCCAGCCTATGATACATGAGACCCGTCTCAAAACAAACAAACAAACAAACAAAAACAAAACCCCCAAAACCAAAAGCAAATAATAAATGAAACTGAGTAAGAGAAATTTGTGTCTCTATCAAAACTAAAATATATCCCCAGAAGAAACTGACAGTCTCCCTGTGCATCTTTGTTTTGTTGGCTTTTGAAAGTCTCACTGCCTAGGCTGGCCTTGAACTTGGGATCTCATGCCTCAGCCTCCTAAGTACTGGGATTACAGGTACAGGCCATTACACCTGGCTGCCTTCCTTGTTCTGCAGCAAGATAGTGTGAAGAGCCTTCACCATAGAGGATTATGGAGATGTAGAGGCAGTAACAGGCGGGTGCTAAGAGTTTACTGTTCAGGTATAAGCACCCTATGAAATCTAGGCAAAGCTGATTTGTGTGTGTAAATATGCCAAAACCTGTAACTATGATTCCTGAGTATGTGGAATAACTACTTCAGTTTTAAGGGAAAAAAATCAGAACCAAGCCAAGCATGGTAGTATTTATCTGTAATCCTAGCACTGGAGCGGCTGAGGCAGGAAGATCATGAGTTCCAGGTCTTTGTGGGATACATGTAGTGAGTAGTAAGACCCTGTCTCAAAAAACAAAATAAATGGGCTGGGGAAATGTTGCCAGTTAGTGAAGTGCTTACTGTGTCAGAATGAGGACCTTAATTCAACTCCCAGAACCAACGCAAAAAGCTGGGTGTGGTTCACTTGTAGTTCTGGCCATGGGACTGGCTCCCGAGGAAGGACTTTTGAGATTAGCCTCTGACCTCTACATGCACACACACACACACAAACAGGAACAAAATGCATATGGGTTTATTAGTGAGAATCGTGGGCCTTCTTGTTGTTTGGCTGGTGGTAGTTTAGAGAGATCAGGGTGAGGACGCTTATTTTGTGTAGTTGTCTGAAATCAGGAGAAGAAATTGATCTAATGATTTGTTTAAAGGGTTGACACCTTTTTCTCACAATATTATTCACTCAGTTCAGTCTGATCTGCCCTTGCTTGTCTGATTCTTTCTGTTTGTCACTCTCTAGGCAGCTATTTTGCCAGCCACTTCATCATGGGAGGAGAGAAGTTTGACTCCACGCATCCCGAAGGTTACCTGTTTGGCGAGAACAGCGATCTGAATTTCCTGGGGAACAGGCCGGTGGCGGTAGGGCTATAATCTTTTTACTGGCCTGTGGGGCTCAGGGCTCAAGTGGCCAGTTCAAACAGCCCTGTGAAAAACAAGTTTGCAGTTGCTGACACAGCAAGGGGCTCTGGGAGCCAGGTGCCTCGGTGTGGTGTGGGAAGACTGGAGGAAACCCAAGAAAAGTTGCTGCAGTCTGGTGGGAGGGAGGTGAAGTCTCCGCACTTGGAGCTTTCCTGAGGATTCAGAGTTCTCCTAATGGACCCTTCTTAGCAGCCCCAGCCAGCCCCCTTGCTTGTGCTCCCTCAGGTTTTATTCCTCCTTTATAGCACATAACCCAGTTCCTATTTAATTTTTCTCTTCTCTGTTATCTGCCTTCTGCCTTAGAAAGTAAGTGCTGTGTTTACTGTTGTGTGCCAGATGTAGCACAAAGCCTGTTAAGTATTTGTTGAGTGAATGAATGACTGAAAAGTTTCCCAGTATTTAAGTTACATACCAGTAATCCCAGCACTTGAGAGGCTGAGGCAGGAGGATTTCCGTGATTTTAAGGCCAGCTTAGGCTATGTAGTGAGATCCCGTCAAAAAAAAAAAAAAAAACCCCAAAAGAATATATCTTTCTTAACTGTTCATTCCTTAAACCCTCTACTGTCCTCCTCAGGGTCCTGAGCAGCACCTACAAGCACAAGCTTCTGTGCCTGCCTCTGAATTTTTGTTGAGGATCCTCTGTCCCCTGTATAGGGCTTTGTGATCATAGCTACCAAGTAGTTCTTGAGTGGCCTCTTGGGCTAAGGAAGGTCCAGACACTATTCTCCATGTGAAGACCTACCTAGCAGAGCACTTTTCTTTTTTAGTGCTGAAGACTGAACCCAGGGCCTTGTGCATGCTAAGTAGGCCCTCTAGCATTGAGCTGTATACCCAGCCCTCAGGGGACTTTTTTTTTTTTTAAAACTGTTTCACTCTGTAGATCAGGCTGGCCCAGAACTCATTAGCCCAGCTGGCTTAGAACTCATAACAACAATCCTCCCTGCCTCTGGCTTCTGAATGCCACCATACCTACCTCTCCCAGGACTTCTTATCCCTCTTACTTCAGTGAGAGAGCACAGTGGTAATAGCTACATGCAGGAAGCAGGCACTGTGTGGAGGCCCCATTCCAGGTGTTCCGCAGCAGTTTTTCCGAATTCTGTAACTAGGGCTGCCTGGCTGAAAATCTACTACCTCTTGCTGCCGCAGAATATTCTGCCTTCTTCACAAAACTGCCAGGATAGCGGGGCAGATAGAAAAGAACAACGGAAAAAATCTAGATGGCAGTGAAGGTCTGGAGTGGCAGCTTTTTCAGGAATTGAGAGATGCTGTGAGCAGATTGCCTTGGTGCTGTGCCAAGGGACTTGAGTTGAATTGACTCTGGGACTAGATGGATAGGAAGGGGCCTTCCCTAGAGTGAGGCAGAGTACAGGCCTAAAAGTATTCCTGTTTTTATTGACTCTGCAAGCATTTGCTGAGTGGCTACCATGTGCTACTGTGACAGGCGCTGTGGACACAGAGCTGAAATGAGCTTGTTTGTTCCTCCCTGGAACAAGTAAGGAAACCAGTTTGACCTGGTGGTAAAGCAAGGGAGAGAGATAGGTGGGGACTCTATCACCCTGAGGGGTTTTCAAGCTTTCCTGTAGTCTATGAGGAACATTTAAGGTTTTTAGGCAAGGTGAATGACCTGGAGAAATTATTTGTTTTAGGAAGATTGATGTAGTGGTAGACCACCATCTTGGGCTTTAATTTAAAGGGTTGTTGTTGATCGTGGTAGTGGCTTTTTCGTGTTTTGTATCTCAGGTGGCCCCTCTTCTAATTCAATCCAGTAGTACTGTTTTCAAAGTGAAAGTCCCAGTCAGAAGTGGTAATGCACACCTCTAACCCTGGTACTTATAAAATTGAGACAGGAGGATTTCCATGAGTTCAAAGTCTACCTGGGCCACATAGTAAGTTCTAGGCTAGTCTGTGCTATATAAAAAGAAAAAAACCAAATCCCTTTTGCTATAAATCAGGTTATGCCAACTAATATTTATCAAATGTCCAGTCTTTGATTTTGTGCTACTGCCTTAGCAGTTAGAGAAGGGGCACTTTGTTTCTGATAGAACAAGATAAGAATATTTCTTCACCAAGAGTCAGCTTAGAAAATGGCTGTAAGGTCTGAAAGACGGCTCAGTGATTAACGCACTGGCTGCTTTTGCAGAGGACCTGTATTCAGTTCCCAGCACCCACATGGCAGCTAACAACCATCCCTAACTCCAGGGGATCCAATGCCTTTTTCTGGCCTCTACACACATTGTATGCTTAGGTACATGTACATACATGTAGGCAAAATACTCATACATATAAAATAAAAATAAATAAAAATTTAAAAAGAAAATGCCCTTAATATTTACATTAGTTTCTCTTTTCTCCTCAGATCTGAGAATAGTATTTTTTTGGTTTTTTTTTTTTTTTGTTTTTTTTTAACAAGTATATGGTCGATTTTGGAGAAGGTTCCATGGGCTGCTGAGTAGAAAGTATGTCCTTTGGTGTTTGGGTGGAATACTCGGTAAATATCTGTTAAGTCCATTTGATATATGGTTTTGTTTAATTCAGATGTCTCTCTGTTAAGTCTCTGGCCTGTTGACCTATCTAATGGAGATAGTGGGGTATTGAAGTCCCCTACTACTAATGAGTTGGGATTAATCTGGGTTAATTGGCCTCTTCTTGCTATAAAGATGCTTTAAAGATAAGCAAAAGCTTCTTTCCTTTCAAGGTTTATGATGGCTGGCACACTTTCCAAAGGTGGGTCATCTTGTTTACATCTCTGTGTAGGCCAGTGAGTGACTAAACTCCATCTGAATTATTAGGTAGCCAGTTGGACCTTAAAGTTTGAGGCTTTTTCCCAAGAAGTATTGACGTTGGTGTTCTTGTTGTTTTTTTGTAGCAGTTGTTCGGTATGCTTAATGCTGAACATAGCAAGGAAAAAAATCACACTAAGCTGGGTGTGGTGGCACGTGCCTGTGATCTAGCACTGAAGAGGTTAGTGTAGGAGGATGTCAAGTCTGAGGCCAGTCTGGACCACAAGGAGGGCATGATGGCACATGCCTTTAATGCCAGCACTGGGGAGGCAGAGGCAGGTGGCTGTCTGTGAGCTCAAGGCCAGCCTGGTCTACATAGTGAGTTCCAGGCCAGTCGGAGAGAGTTACAGGGAGACTCTCTGAAAAACAAAAACAAAAATAAAAACAAGTCAGTTGTCACTGCTTACTCCTGTAACCACTTGTGAGACCAAGGCAGGAGCTGTGAGTTTGAGGCCAACCTGAGTTACAGTATGAAACCCTGTCTCAAAAAAAAAAGAAAAAAATTACAATGTTCTGACTTTTTTCTAGTTCCCTGTCTAGACCGTGTAATGCTAACTACTCTTGCCTTTACTTCTCCTTCACATCTCCTGTTCACCAGTCAAGGATTTTCTTTCCCCCTAGAGACAAGAGTTATGCAATTTGGCGGTCTTTTAGATAGGCCCACTGAAAGGGTACTCCAATTGCCTCACCCTGCATCCCTGTTCAGCATGGACGAAGCCAGAGCGGTCTGTGTCCCGACTCCCTATCTGCAAGTTGGGTAACCTCTTCAGAGGATGGCATGATAAGAATAGGAGGTAGGAAGTGGCTAGGCAGTTAGGGTAAAAAGACCCCCCAAAAAAGTAGCCAGTTTCTTGGCTAAAAGTCAAAATGTCCTTGGGCCTCTCGCAGGAGATGGAAGGGAATGGAAATGGCCCTGAGCTTTGCAGCGATTTTGAAAATGAGGAGGACAACAGCTACAACAAAGGTGGCTTGAGTCCAGCCAATGACACTGGAGCCGAAGCCCCACAAAAAAAAAAAAAAAGAAGAAGAAAGAGAGTACATGAAGTTACCAGAAAAAAGTGATGGGGAGATATGGGAGGAGTTGGAGGGGAGGGCATGGGCACGGATTTGGTCAAAATACCTAATATACCTGTATGAAATTCTCAATGAATTATTTTTAAAAAGAAGTGTACAGGGTACTGAAGATAAAGGTAGCAATGCATCTCCTTCCCCCACATTGTTTGATAACAATGGCCCACGTGTACTGAACACTTCTAGTTTGCCTGATTGTTCTAAGCACTGCATACGTGCTATCTTATTTTGTCTTCAGTCTAATGAGGGAGGTCCTCATTTGAGAGGTGAAGAGCAGGAGGTGCAGAGTTAAGATTATCAAGCCTGTGGGGGATCCAGTCAGGGTTTGACCCCAGCAGTCCACTGCACAGGCTGAGTACTCTGCTGCTTCTGTAATGAGGTCAGGTGTGCTTCAGATCGTTGCACACATCCTGTCTGTGAACCTGTTTGTGTGGATGTAGATCACCAAGTGCAATCTGTAGATTTGGGTAGAGATCTAAAAGTAGAACCCAAGAGTTGTGTGCTCCCCTGGAGCTTCTGGAGCATCCCTCAGAGAGTCAGTGTGTGGTGTGTAATTCCATCTGCTGCGCTGACCTCTGTGTTTTACCATGGCTGCTCTTCACGTTTGGTTAAGGAACGTCCTGAGTCTGAGGCTTGACACGAAGCTTTAGTTCTGAAGAACTAGCTTCCACTCTCAAATATCAGAGCTGGGTGTCAGCAAGTGTGCATCAGGTTACAGAGCAGAGAGGACAGCCTTTTAAAGCCATCCAGCAGCAGTGGGCAAAAGCTGTTCCTTTCCAGAGAAGGATGGGCAAAGAAGTATGTTGGAATGAATTGCCATATTAAAATAAATGCCACAGATCTCCTGGCTCCTGGGATTTGTGGAATTTGACAGATATTTCCTGCCATTTCCAAATCTGCAGCTGAAAAGCCCATCATTCGACTGAGCTATCACTTCTCTGTAGTGCTTACTGGCATGCTAGGAATCTGCCATTTAGGATAATTAGTCAAGGCAAATTTGTTATCAAGTCTTTAGGGTAAGTATAAGTGAGCCTGTGTGTGTGTGTGTGTGTGTGTACACGTACAGAAAGGTAGCTGAAGAGAGCATCA